GTAGCATGAGTATCAGGCTCTCCGGGAGAGGGGAAAGAGAGAGCCGGCTTCCTTCCCTTCTCTCCCCCTCCCCCTCGGAAGACCTGATACTCAGGCTATATTCCGGGTGGATTAATGAGCGTGGAATATACTGTCGCTAATCCGCTAAATCGGAAATCTCTAGTAGGGCTATACCTTTTTCTTCTTTTTCTTCTTTTCTTTTAAGTCAGTTGCGTCTATTTGTGAGGACGCTGGTTTTCTTCCTCCTTTACCAACTGTTATCCAGCCTTCTTCATCAGGTTGGCCTCTTGCTTCGTCCTCAGCCTTTTTGGCCTATGAAAAATTTACAGGAATAGATAAGCTGTCTTTTCTTATAGACTCTTCCCACGCAACAACCATGTTGGCTGGAAAGATAGATTTTTGCCTAGCTCACATTCAAGCACTTCGGGATGCTTTTGAACAGGCAGAAACAAGGTCTTCAATTCTCGTGGAAATAAAAATGGCAACGGCGTGATAATGACACAAGAAAAAATATATATATGTGCAAGTACAAGTACAAGAATCAAAATTTGGTTATTCTATGACAGAATGCATTCTTTACCTTCAGTGCAAGCAACTTATAATTATTTGAAGGTGGTGTTTCACAAGACAATTCCCAACGAAAGATTTTTGCACAAAATTTGTTTCTGTTTAACGTGGCTTGTGGCAATAAATTTTTAACAATATTTTGTTGCGCAAACATGTTGCAGGTTTTTAGACAACCTTAAAAACTCAAAGTTTTTGTCATCGATTTGTGTTGCCGCTCACACTATGTTTTGAGGGCAACTTTTCATGCAACAATGTATCACTAAAAACTACATTGCAATAAAAATTGTGTTGTGTAACATCACATTAGACATAGTAACATCATAATAGTCAATTATTGACTATGGAGACACGAATTGAACAAGACATCTGTACTGAAGCAAGCAATTTTTACCATCACAGAGAATGAATACAACAGGTTGATGTCAAGCAGTCAGGCTTCTTTCAAGATTACCTCTTCTTGTTCTTCATCAAATGTAGCCATATATCTGTCAACTTCTTCTTGGAGTCTTGATGGATTTGGATACTGTAAGCCATACTCTTGGCACCATTCTGACATCAAAATAATACATGTCTTTAAACTCTGATTGCTCATTTGCTTACTTTTCCATCCATCCATCCATCCATCCATCCATTCACCCATCCCTCCTATTCCATCAATCCCATTCCACCCCACTAAAATCAATGCAGAGTGCAGGAATCAAACCCAGATTGCCTTGATGAGAGGCAAGCACTTTATGGCTAAGCCTCCTGTGCTTCCTGCTCTCCCATTGATCTGTTTTTATATCCATACTTACTTTCCATTCCTGTTAGAATAATATTTTCTTCATCTGATAAGCATTTTACTTCAGTGCTATCTAATTCCATTGCAGCTTTGAGAGATGACGGTTTCTTGAATACTACATATGCCACTTTAAATCCCTGAAACATATGTGGGTTTTCTATTTTGTCAAATTGTGTAGTTCCAGAAAATATCCATACCCACACACAAAGGAAAATGGAAATTCTGGAGGGGAGGGGGTGAGAGAAAGAACAAAATTACTGAGTATTACAAGTCTTGAAATAACAAATCCACTTAAAAATGATGTTTAGATATGTGTTCACAAAGTTTAACCAGCAAATTCCAATTAGTTTCTGAGTAATCATATTAAGCTATATTTCTTTAAGGTTTGCAATGCTCACAGCTACAGTAGAACACAATATGTTTTACATTAATGATCCAGACTTAGCAGTAAAACCATCAGCAGCAGTTGTCACTATGACTTACCTTGATTTCAGTGTTTGGGCTCACAAGGCTAGCCTTGGTTTTCTTGACTTTTCCAGGTTGTTTCATGAGGAAGACACTTTGAACTGCCCCACATGACGTACCAAACAACCTTTTCAGAGCAGACTGCAAACCAATCATGATATATCAAAAGACAATTATTTGCTAGAACTTTTTTCGATACAAGGTAGATATATTGTGGGACGGGGTGGGGGTGGGGGTGGGGGTGGGGGGTGTTGCAAGGGGAAAGTTCAGTGGTAAAGATTATGAATAGAATGCCCATCTTCGAGTGCCAGGGTGAACCTTTAGTAAACTTATATTCAAGTTATCTTCATGTTTTTATGCAGGGTCAAAATTATCTACTGAATTAACAAACCAATTGAATTTAAGACTCATTTTTTCCCATAGTAAGATCAAATGAAGACACCTCTCTCAATACACAATTACAAAGGTGTACTTGTGGGCATACAGTACAACTTGCTACTGTAATAAAGGAATATAAAAGGTGTGAGCATGACTCTGTACTGTGATATAAACATGCTGGGAGCTGTAGAGCATAAGAGAAGCAAGCTTAGGAACATGAGGGGTAACCAAGTGGTTCTCTTGCTTTGTGAGTGCTCTATACATATATAGCTTTCCGAGTGTTTATATCACAGTACAGAGACATAAGCATAACGACTTTGTATGAATGTGTCTCTGTCCACTGATATAGATTAAACATGGTAGCCAACCATCTAACCAATAATATCGCAACAAGACTTTGAAAGTTATGAAGTAAACGATTTGACTGAAATGATACAATGAAGACCGTTCTGTAAACCACTGATTGTGATGTTGGTATCCTCAATAAAGATGATTTATTATTATCATTATTATTATCATTATTATTATTATTAACATCATCATCATCATTATTATTATTATTATCAAAGGGCAAGGTAACAGGGGAGGGGAGGGTACGTTGTTACAGTACTACCTAGTATGTGGGAAACATAGATCTCTAAGAATAAGGCTTTTTTGTTAAACCAATCTTAATTCCCTTTAAAAGAATAAACCACTATTTTACTCTTACTGAATCGTCATTACTGAGTTACATTATAAAGTCCAAGAAACATTCAAAATCTGTAGAATGTAAAGTAAATCGCCATTTGCACGTGTGATGATGAGAAAATTCTGAGAAGCATGAATGACTTTCGATTTACCTTATTACAGTATGGAGGGATGTTAACGATAAATAATGTCCTGTCAGAAGGCCTCATAGGCTCCTCTTCTCTCAGGGCATGCTTCTTGTAGTATAAGACATGAAATGACGAGCAATTTTCTTTTAGTTTTACTCGTAGAGTTCGAAAACCTCCGACTTCGGACGCCATCTTTGTTTGAAGTAACGCACAGGTAACCCATACATTACAAAATTTATATTCTTATATTTTTTCGATACATTGAAATGAAAAATGGATAAACAAAAATTAGGAATTAAAGATTAGATATTTGTAAAAAGTTAATTGAATTTTTGGCACTAATATATATAAAAAAATATGCAAAAACAAGAAAAAAATTAAGGGAGTCTTAAGAATAATGATGGGCTTCCTGTGTTGTGGTGCTGTATTCCGCTGAATCAAGTACCGCGGCGCATGTTGATTAGGAAATCCAAAATGGAGGATAATCTCGAGCTTTTGATTGGTAATTTTTATCCTACTTTTTTTTCCAATTCTGATCACCTTAACACTTTTTTAATAATTTTTTATCAATCTTTACAGATCGAGCTACAGATCAAACTAAAAACCACGACACTTCGGACCATTTTGTAGCCGTCTGGGACCGAATTAACAAAGAAACCGATGGGTAACTGTTCAAACTCCTCTTATATTTTGAAGTTCCGGGTGTAAAATATTTCGTTTTTAAAGACTCTTTTCTTCCTTCTTAAGGCCTCAAGTAGCACTTCGGTACCTGATACAGAAAGTACGAAGCGTGAACGAAAGGGAATCGCTGTGTTCTTTAGAGGTTGGTACGGGATTAGTTTAGTGTACTTACATCAATATATGTGGGTTTTGATTTTCAGACAAAACAGGTATTTAATAATTGAAGTGATCTCTAACCATTCATTTTCTATTGAAAAATAAATGCAATGTAAACATACTTGACAGATAAGATTATAAAATTATTTTTCGTTTATTTGTACGGTATCAGCTGTTTGTAATTATTAGAGTGCAAACAATATATCCGTGAAACTTTAGTAATACTAAATAGCACAATTTTATGCAAAATTCCATTGTTTTCTATTGTTTAATTAGCACTATTTTGTACTATTTAGTAATTAGTGTTTCACGGATTAATTGTTTGCACTCTAGCAACGTTTTTCTTCTTAATTAGTTCAAAATTGAAGTAAAATAAGCTTAATTTAACAAAGGTTCATTACATTTGATACTAATATGATTATAAATTTTACTTTCAGCTTATAGAAGCCTGTGTCAAAAACTGTGGCTCCAGATTCCACCAAGAGATTGGAAAATTCAAATTCCTGAATGAACTTGTTAAGTTGCTTTCTACGAAATATGATGGTGGGTGGACCCCAGCCTCAGTCAAAGCACGTATCATAGAGTTACTCTACAGCTGGACTAAGGGTTTACCCAGAGAAACCAAGATCCTTGATGCTTACAAGATGTTGAAAAATCAGGGTGAGTTAAAAATTACAAACGAAATCACTCTTTCATTCAGAGTAAATCATGTGATTTGCTGTTCTTTTCTGTAGGTTTAATCACTAGTGATCCAGTTGATCCCTACAAGTCTATATATCCCAAGGTAAGAAACTGATATCTTGCAGATATCTCATCTCATGCAATGGACTACTTCAATAATGCAGCAGCCATCTTGAATTGCCGGCCAGCAATATGGGTCGCCTAGGAGGCAAAACAAAACAAAGATAACAAAATGACGAGCCAGGGATATTTGAGAAATTTCCTCAGTTGTGAAACTGCATTTTTTTAAATTAATATCTTGTGAAATTGTTTTGTTTTGGACCATAAATGTCAATCGACACCATTATTTTAATGGAGCTTTGTCTATTTGTCTCCTGGATCTGTCTCACTGCATCATCAAAGCAGTCCACTGACATATAATTACAGCTATTTCAAAAAAGGTTGTAAAGGAAATTTCATTGCTTATTACCGCCACAAGTACTCAGCAGTAGCGCAGCTCAATGGGGTCGAACTGCAAGCATGTAAAAGCATGTGTAAAGGTTTTGTTGCACGTTGCATACCAAGCCCAAAATGCACTATGGGTGATGTGAAAACAATCAGTGAAAAAGTTATACATTTCAAACTTGCAAAGTAACATGCAACATATGCAATAAAACCTTCACCAACCTTTTTTGAAATTTAGCTGCACTATACAAATTAAAGGTAAATTTTGCATAATTTTTTTTTACCTCTTTTCCATTCGTCTTTTTCAATAGGAAATGCAGCATCCAAAGAATACCATTTTTGACGATGAAGAAAAATCCAAGGTATCTAAATTCAATTTATTAGTCTTATAATTGTATCATAAACTGTAAATTATAGCTTTATAGGACACAGAAAGGTTCTCATGTTTATTTTCCTTTTTTTTCCTTATGTTTATGACAGACCTTTGATTAAATTTTCTTTGTTTTGATCAAGCTTTTGGCAAGATTACTGAAGAGTAAGCATCCTGAAGATTTACAAGCAGCTAATCGCCTTATCAAGACAATGGTTAGACAGGTAAATTAGGACTGAGATTTATTAAGGCCAACATGGAAATCATTCTTTAATTAAACATTTACAAGTGCTTCCCAATCCCATGAACAAAATCATTTAATTTGTCATCACGAGGAAGTAGGTGATTCCCAATTTTAGCTATACAGCTGTGTATATATGTCAAGTCGTGGTAATGTTACTGCTCATAGATTATCAGCCAACATTTCCATTAAATTTCAGGATGAAATTAAAACCGAAAAAATAGTAAAACGAAACATGGATATAGAGCAAAGTGTTAACAATGCACGGCTGCTGTCAGAAATGTTAAGTCATTATCAACCCTCTTCACCATCACAGGACAAAGAACTGATGAAAGTATGTATATGTCAATACCATGGTACTTACAGTGTATTGCAGGAGGAGATCTAGAATTTTTTAAGAGGGCGGGTTACTGTTTCAAGTTAACTCATGTTAATACTGCAGAAAAAATGGTGAAAAAATGGCGAAACAATGGTGTGAACCTGGTGCCATCTTCAATTTGAGAGCTTCAAATAAACTGAATGAAACTAGCTTAATCATCACAATAAATGCTTTCAGTTGTAAACGCTTTTTTTGTAACCTCACCACTCCACCCCTGACATGGCTAAGGACAAGATGGAGACAACAATCATTTCTTGACATGGTATCATAGTATAAATGGCATCCTAATATAACCTGGTCTATTTTATCTTAAATTAGGTAACATTAACAATTTTTCTATGAAATCAGAACCCAGGATTGACAATGTTGTTATTATATTTCGTTATACATTTAGGAGCTCTTTTCTTCATGTGAGAAGATGAGACCATCATTGTTCCGACTGGCTAGTGCGGCAACAGAAGAAGGGGATGGAGGATTAGGTGAGTTAATCCATCCACATCTCCTAGTATCATGATTGTCATATAAGTTTGATCGGGAGAGAGTTGCCAATATAAACCAGAATTGGCTCAAAATTACCACGTGACCATTGCAATGTGTATTTCCAAAAATTATCCATACCCCCTTCCCTTGGAATTCCTGAGGGGTGGGGTCAGAGAAAGAACAAAATTATTTTGAGTTTGCATGGAAGAAAATTGGAATTTCCTCTTGTGGGAGGGTATGGATAATTTCTGTAATTACACAATACAAAACTTGCAACTTCAAGACACCAGTCATATGGGTTTATATTAGTGGTGTTGGAAGAAAATATATTCTGTTGGCTTCACAACTACAGCCAATACTGGATATGTTTCCTCCCAACTAGCCATTTATAGTATGAACCCATATTTATAGTATTTAGTATGAACCCATATTATTTGTGGCTCAAAATCAAAAAAAGCTCTAACAATTGTCTTTCTTGAAATATACCTGTAGGTGAGATATTGAAAGCAAATGATGAGCTAACAAAAGCAATAGATGAATACAGGCGGAAAATTGGGACAGAAAGTGGTGGTAAAGCAACACCAGCTTCCCCAGCAGCAACACCAGCCTCTTCTACAGCTACTTCAGCCTCTTCTGCAGCTACTCCAGAGCCAATAGATACAACTGCTTCATCTCTTATTGACTTAGGACAGCACCAAGAAAATAATGGTGTTGTTGATACTAATTCTTCTGTGCTTGATGATGAACTTAAAGCTTTAGGTAAGCATGGATTTATACTGAATATGTAGACCTGTTGCCCAAATGGGTCATGCTCTGGACTTCCATATAGTAAACAAATGTTTCTTCTGTTTTAACCACTAGGTATTCATGATACACCAAATACTATGGCTTCACAACCAACAACCATAGCTACCTCAGTAAGTTTGGTAACACTTTTCTACAGGGATCATAGAGAGCGGAGGGTTACAGGGTCTTTAGTTCGTACATTGTGTCAGTACTGCAACAGATTAGGGCAATGTTCTACCTCCCAAACCCTTACCCACCCACACATACCCCCAATTAAATAAGAGTTCTGCTCCATGGCCCCATTCTTATCATGCCTATGTACATGTATGTACAGTACACTTCCCTCAAACAATCTAAACAATATTGATCTTGCTCATTGACAAAATTTATTTGATATCTAGGATATTACAGCTTTATCTTGGGGAAGTTCCCAGTCAGCACAGAGTTTTGTTGCTCAAACTCAAGCTGGTACAAACAATGTAGGTATGGTAAGACCAATGGGTTATCCTGGAACAACTGTTTCTGGTCCAATGAATCCAGTGAATCTTCCTGGTCAACAATTTACAAGAACACCAATGAACCAATCATATAGTATGCAGCCTGGTATGGGGATTTCAATGGTGGGCCCTGGAGGTCAAAGAATTATGCAAGGGATGAATCCAGGAATTCGTCCCTTGGGGGCGATGGCAGGAACACCAATGTCTGGGTATGCTCCACCTCGTGGGCCACCGCCAGCCAATAAGAGAGGACCTGAAGCTCTAAAGAAGCCTACATCTTCACTTGATGTCCTTGGACTGGATATGTTACAAGATCAGAAGCTGCAACAGAAACAAAAGCAGCCGGTGTCACCATTACCACAAAGCACAGACCAAACTCTCTTATCACTATCATCAGTATCCTCAGCTGTCAATCAATGTCAACCGCCTGAAAGACCCTTGGAACAAAATACACCAGCCAATAATGATTCTTCAAGCACAGATACTCTTTTGTCTCTGGGCACAGACACTGGAGCAGATCTCTTAACCACACCAATAACTCGTGTCTCCTCAGAACCAGAGCCATTGGACAATGTGTTTATTCCGCTGGATTCTGTTTTACCAGGTAACATAAGATAATTATTGAATGTCGCCGACAATTGGAGAATCGACAACTGGCTTACAGAGCTTAAAATAACTAGGACTTGTCCAGTCAAATCTTTGGCTTGCAGGTCAATTTGACCAGTAACGTTTCTAGCCAGGAATGAGGTTTAACTAGGCTAAAACTAATTTGGCTTGTGATTGTGACCAGTGACTGATCAGCCGTTATTTTAAGCCCTGGGTTTATTGCTTTGATAGCTATCGTAAATGTAAATGTTTTACATGCAAAGAGTACTCTTTTGCTGACGATGCTTGACCATAAAATATCGAAGAAATAGAAAACGTGTGCACGTACTGTGTGCAGTTATAAAACACAAGAGAAGTGTTAGGAGAAGCATGATGTGTAGCATTATTTTGGATAGGAATGCAGCAACTGAAAGTGCTCACATGTGCTTTGTGCTTTCATAAAGCATGCGCTGCCAACTATAAAAACGCAAGATTTATAACAGTTATTTTATAATGATGATGTGCAATTTTCAGGAAATCATCAACCCTTAACAGTACTTGATAAAAATGGACTCAAGATGGTTTTCCATTTTGCAAAGGTATGATATACAAATTAGACACGTTAGGCATATTATATGAAAAGCTCTATTGTTGTCTTTACTGACCAGAATTTTTCAGATTTTTTTGCAAAATTTAAATACTGAATAATATTTATCATTTGTTTTTCATCAGACCACTGCAAAGCTTTCACGCACAGATGTGGCCATCGTGGTCATCTCAATAATGAGTACTCGAAGCACAGCAATAAGTAACTTTGTTTTGCAAGCTGCTGTTCCAAGGGTAACTTAATTGTTTCTTTGGTAGTTATACTACAGTACGAGATGCTGGGCCGTAACCAGGGTTCTGCAAGGAATGGGATCTTGAATGACCAATCCAATAACTGAGAAAAAATAAAATAACAAAGCAAAAAATAATCGATGAGTGATAATGAAAATTCTACAATTGGGAAATTTTTTGTTGTTGAATGAGTCGGCATACCTTTCTGCTTTTGCGGGGGAGTGCACCCAATGCATTCTGTTTGTTTACGGCCCTGAGATATAACAAGTAAATCAATCTTATGCAGAGCCCCATTTAAACCAGCTATGCTGAACTGAGCATCTCTGCTTAAATACTGTTCATAAATAAATAAATAAATCTTCTTGTAGCTTTAAAAGATGGTGACATTTTTCTATGGAATCTCCAATCCATCCATGTTTACTAGACTGATTCCATAATAAACAGTGTTTTTGCTTGACTCCTGTTGATTCTGGATACCACAACGCACAAAGAAGCAAAAACTACCACTTATGGAATCAGTCTACCATGTTAAATGCAAAGAACCAAGACAATTCTAAAATCTAATAAATCTTGATTGCATTTATTACAGTGTGTGTTTCCTTTCAGGCTATGAAAGTCAGGTTACAGCCTCCATCAGGCACTGATCTCCCAGCTCATAACCCAATTCTCCCTGCTGCAGCAATAACCCAAGTGATGCTGATAGCCAATCCAAATAAGGTCTGTTATATACTTACTCGTACAACATAATTATGTCTATCATCGATGCAACCCTGGTTTGAGTCCTGCCAAGCTTGGTGTTTATGCAAGTGTAGTTTCTAGTTGATTCTCTTCTGTGCTTCGAGAGTTTTACTCTGGGTTCTCTGGTTTTCCTCCCTCCAAAAAATCAACTCCTAAATTCCAATTCAATAGACCTAATCGGCTAAAGTGTTGCTATAAATGTTTCCACCCAATTCAAACCACATGGGACTAAGTTTCATTGTTCGTTATATTTTGGTTTCASAGTTGAATTCGTAGAGACAAAYGCTTCTATTCCCAGAAGGTTTGAATTGGGTGGTAATGTACATAGCAACACATTAGCCAATTAGGTCTATCATGGAATGAGCAATTCGATCAAGGAACAAGGGCCACAAGTTCGTTAGCTACTAGCTATTAAGTGTTACTCTCTTAAAACAAGGTCTTAACAAAAAATATTACTAAAGTGTTCCTATAAAGTGCCTATATTTTTTCCCTATCAAATTTGTGCTAAAAGTGGCTGAGATACCTGCAGTTCTAAAAATATTGTTCTTTTTTTTTTCAGGAAACGATCAGATTAAAATACAGAGCTACCTACGAAACAGATGGAACAACGTCAGTGGAAGCTGGAGAAGTTACCTCTTTCCCATCTTTATGAGACCTTCCTGGAATAAACTAACATGCAAATCAGTTACAATCAATGTAATGTTAAACCGTGTGGGATAGTAGTCAGCCTTCTCCTTTGTCTAGAAATATTCCATATTTACCTTAATTTAAGTTTTCTTGTAGAGTATAGTTTCAACTTTTTTTCCGTTTAGTAATTCTTTATTTTAAATTTTATCATCGCTGCCATGGGTGAGACACAAGAACAGCATCCCAGATGCCATTGACAAATGGTTGGCTGATTGACGGAAGTTTATCAGCCTTTTCGCATTTATCATTTGTTTGTTAGTCAACTGTTTGATGGAAATTTGAAAGGACGCCAATAGTTGGCTGCTTGGCATCTTGTGTTTTACCACAGCCATGTTGGTGGTATCTTACAAGAGTTTACTTAACAGTATTAATTGTCAATACTACAAGCATGGATGCTATGCCTTTCACTTTTAACTCTCTTGGAAATGATTGAAACCATTAATACAATGTTGTTGATGTCGATAAATAGATAGGAACTTTGTTTCAAGAGGTGCTGCACTTAATTCCATATTTAAGAATTGGTTGACACTCTAGCTTGCATTCATTGAATTACAGATGCATACAGAAAGCTTCTAAGCACAGCAGAAAATTTATAGTTGAGAGGCATGTTGATTCTGATTCTAGCTTATTTGCCTTTAAACCCTTCCAGTATTTCAAGTAATTTATCCATTAACGATACTCGGTGTAATCTAAGCTTTGTATTCAAAGTGATTACTATTATACTATTACGCTCAACATAATTACTTGATTCTGATTGGACAAGAGGAGTACAATTAAATCCCAATTAATTTGCTCAATTTTGTTGAGGGTATCATAAACAAAAATTTGCACAATCTTCTCATCCAATTCGGAATTTATAGATACTCCTGATGTTTTCAAAGTTTTCAAATTTGACTTGGTGATGTTTTGAAAATTTTCAAATTTGGACAAGCCTTTAGGCAGCCTAAAGGCTTGTCCAATTTTGAAAATTTTCAAAACACCACTTGTACCTATAAATTCGGCATTGTACTTGAGATCGCGTGATTTCCTATATTAATAATAAATCTGTCAATGAAAATAATAGAACAATAAATGCACTGTAATATTTAAATTCCATGATGAATAATATTATCCATTCTACTTATGGCTAATAAGAATCCACATGGATTTTTTATTCAAAACAAGAGTGAACCAACAGTAAGTTAACCATTGTCATGCCCAATTATGTTTTTCAGTCATTTTACAAGATAACACTCCATACAATTTACCCCTGTGTTAATCGAATTTAGACTTAAAACTCCTGCAATATATCAATGATTATGAAAAAAGTTGCATAACATGTTCGCTAAGGTCTTACAAAATTTCAGCTTTGGTCTAACTGGTCTGTTTGTTTTCTTTATATTAATTTCCTGTAGGAACTGACATTTAGTTATCAGTGAAATTGGCCTTTCTTTTCTCCACAAATGCTGACATTCCTTCTTTTCTGTCATCCTGTGTAGAAAATGGGGGGAAAGCAATATCAACCACAATGATAAATATAAATTGCAATAATAATGAAGAGTTTTCTTTGGTTCTAAATAAATTTAATGCTTACCAAAGAAAATGTTGAATGGAACATTCTCTTTTCAAAATGTAATCCTTCTTGAAGAGGCATCTCATAACCTGACAAAACAAGACCACAGGAGTCCCACAGGTCAGGATGTGAGTCAAAGACAATCACCTTTCCACAGGATGCCCAACAGCTTAATATTATCTTGGTGTTAAACTGTCTTCCTTACCTGCGTTAATAGTTTCTTTGGCAATTCCAACACTGAGTTTTGATAACCCAGCTATCTTTTCTGCTGTCTTTTGTGCCTTGTTTACGAGTTCATCAACAGGGAACACTGCACTCACAAGTCCTGCGAAAGAAATTTAAAAAAAAGAATGATCTTTGTTTTTTTTATGGAAAGATTATCATATACTTTATAAAATTAGCCAGATGGAAAAAAATCTGAAAATTATTCATGGTGTATTTTCTTTTAAATTTTTTTTGTTTGATTTTTATAAATTTAAAATCAACTAAATAGCAGCTAACCTGATTGAAGGGCTCTATTTGCATCAATAGGGTTTCCGGTTAGAACCATTTCCATGGCAAGAGATTTCCCTACAGCCTTTGCAAGTCTCTGAGTACCTCCAGCACCTAGGATGGACAGAAACTGTATTACTGCAATTTTCATAAACATGCGAACTCTGTGTCTGCATGCTGCAGGCTGAAATTTGGATTTTTGCCGTCGCCAATCAAACCAAATCAGTCAATACCTTTCATATTTTTGACTGGTGGCAGCGAAAAAAACAAATTTCAGGGTGCAACTTGGAAACAGAGTTTGTATGTTTATGAAAATTATTTTCATAAACATACAAACTCTGTGTCTCCAAGTTAATGCACCCTGAAATTTGATTTTTTCGCTGCCACCAGTCAAAAATATGAAAGGTACCGACTGCAATTATTGCAGTAAAGCATACAACAAAATGGTGTCAGATGTGGCAAATAATAATTTTATTCTATGTATCAATCCACTCATTCCTGTTCCATATTTACGATGATGTATGATCTATATAGACAAAGTGTTGAGTATTACCTGGAATTGTACCAAGTAGGATTTCTGGTTGTCCAAACTTGGCCTTCTCGCCAGCATAGATTATGTCGCACATCATAGCAAGCTCACATCCTCCACCTAACTACAGTGATAATATCAATAAATAATTAGTGCATAAGATGATATTTTCACAACTAACAGACAGGAAACTCACAGCATAGCCATTAACAGCTGCAATAACTGGCTTGCGACATTTTGCTACCCTTGTCCAGTGTCCAAGAAAGTCACCAGACAAACACTTCTGGTATGTCAATGGCTGCATCTCTTTGATATCTGCACCAGCTGTAGAAAGAAATTCATGATTTAAGAATTAATTTTGCTCTCTGCATACCTGGAGCACCAATGAAACCTTTAATCTTTGGGTTACTGGTTTCTATTAATCAATCCAAGGTTGTGGGAAAAACTGAGTAAAGTTGGCATCGCAGTGCATTTTGGGACTGTTTTACGGGACATATTTTCAAGATGGCATCTAATTTTGTACCCTAAAACAGTTTTAACATGCACTTCATTGCTAACTTGACCCAGTTTTTTCTCAACCTCGGAACAGCAAATAGTCTTTATACCAAACTAATGGGAAACTGAAATGGAATGGAAATGGGAAATAGACTGGTTCACTTCTAGCCATCTCTTCAATCCATGCACACAGCTCCACTGAACCATTTCCTTCCCCTGTCTTACCTATTACTGTTTTATGACTTATTCATGACAAGGTGTGAATGTAAGCTGATTAGAAATTGCAATTGCCTGGGGAGGGTGGAGGGCCATATGCATATTAATTGCTAAAAAATGTGGCCAAAAATTAAACGTTTCAAATTAACCTACCGGCAAAAGCCTTTTCACTACCAGTCAGCAAAACAGCTCCAATATTCTCATCCTTCTCAAAAGCGTCCAACGCATCGCTCAATTCAAACATTAGGGCATCACAGAGAGCATTCAGTGCTTTAGGCCTGTTCAGTTGGATGAACCCTACATTCTTTTTATCGCCTCGTACTTCAGTTATTATGTGTTCAAATGGCTTTTGGGCTGCAAAATGAAGGGGAATTGAAGAATTATTTTTAAGAAATTGCTGTATTTACACACAAGTATATCATGCAAAATTGTAATAAGCTTATGTAAGCTTAAAAGTTCAGCTTTCTTTAACTTTTCCACGTGTGCAGAAGTAAAAATAAATAGTGCAGAAAAAATAAAGAAAATCGTTGATAAAACTTTCGTTGGGGCAATGGATGATGTCTTACCTGAGCAAAAAGCACGAGCATATTGAGGTTGAGCCAAAGATGCAGTTCGCAATCCAAGAATACCTCGAGAAATTTGGAAAAGCCTACGAGACGCCATTTTGTTTCTAACTGCAAAGATAGTCACTAGGGAGGGGAGGGTAGATCAAGTTAGCATTCTGCTCGACACAACAAAAGGAAAAATTTGAAACTCTATCATAATATATCAATTCAGGAGTATTATATCTATTAACTAATCTTTAGTCTAATTCAAATATAAAATCAAAAAGACATCTACATTTTATATTTATAAAGTTATATTTTATAGAGTTATCTAAGGTCGAAGAAGTTTTAAGGGGGGATCCCAGGGTAAGAATGAACAAAAGCGTGGTGGCCTGGGTCTTCAAAAGCTTTGGAACCATCTTGTTTTTCTTGGAGGTTTTTTTTAAAAAGTTGCTTGTAAAATGACTCGCCACGGAAAGAACGCTACAGCCAGCACAGTATATTCCTACCACGAGAAAAAGAAGGACACTAAGTCTTCAGGGTACGGCAGTGAAAAGATTCGTTTGGGGAAAGACTCTGTGAAAGATTTCGATTGTTGTTCACTGACTCTACAACCTTGTCGCCATCCAGTAATCACTCCTGATGGTTATTTATACGATAAACAGGCGATCCTTGAATGTTTACTGCACCAGAAGACACAGATAGCAAAGAAGACAAAGGAATTTGAGAAACAAATGAAGAAAATACAGGCAGAAGACTCAGGGAAGACATCAGAGGAAGAAAGAGCGAAGTTAGAATCATTTATGAACATGGAGAAACGAATACTAACAAAACCGAGCACAGTATTCAAGGCTGCTAAACAAACTGCGACAGTTGATGAACCTCAGCCATCGACATCTAAAGGTTAGTTTTTCTGAAATGTAATGTTGACATTTTTGAATGGTTATATATGCAACTATCACCCCCCCCCCCCCCGACAAGAATAAGGCAGTTTAGAAGGGGGGAGCGGTGGATAAAGGGTATGTACCTTGACCAGGAAGACCTAAAAACATTAACAGAGTGTATTTTTGAGAGAAGGCCTCTACGAATGATAGTCTGGACATAATGTTTACTAATGTTTCTACTTATCAGACTACATGTCATATGCCCTTGAAAATTATTTCTTTGTTTACTGATGTCATAAAAATGTATTTTACTTAAACACAAAACCATACTCAAAGAAATGACATGCATGGTCTCTAGTGTGTAGGTGAAACATTCCAAACTTAATTAGTCAATTCTTTTTACAGTGCCATTCAGTGACCACATAAATTATAATAGTACGTTCAAGGTTGGAGTTGCCACACACAATAAACTATAGTAATATCTGTTTTGCTATGTGCGGCAAATCCAACTTTGACTTGGAACTATAATTATTTGTGATCACTGAATGGAACTGTAAAAGGAAGTTTTCTCAAGTGTAACAGAGTTTTTGATTTTTTTTCAGTACAAAATGCAGCCAATGACAAAAGCCTGCCAAGTTTCTGGATTCCGTCCCTCACCCCAGAAGCCAAACCTACGCTAATCAAAAAGCCAGACTCCAAAACTTATTGTCCTATGTCAAAAAAACCTTTAAAAGTCAAGGATTTGATTCCCGTCAACTTTACCTTGATCGACAAAGATGACAAACCTTTGGTTGCCAAGTCGGAGCGCTACAAGTGTGCAGTCACAGGAGATACTCTTGGAAATTCTGTACCATGTGCTGTACTCAGGAATACAGGAAATGTTGTGACGATGGACTGTGTTGAAAGACTCATCAAAAAAGACATGTTATGCCCTTTTACAGGGGTTAAACTTAAAGAAAAGGATATCATTCCTATGCAGAGAGGTGGAACAGGATTTGCTGCCTCGGGGGTCACTTTGGAGGCTAAAAAGGATGGACCAGCTATGCAAGCATAACTTGAATGACTTTATATATTTTCTTACTACTATTCTTAGATCTCCACAACTTTTAGCTATCTGGGTTTTTAGTGAAGTTCTGGCAATTACAAAATTTGTAACTCAGGCCATTGTAAATTTGAATGCTGGTAGACCAAGAAGTTTTCAATGATTGAGTTTTGAAATAAATGCAGAAGATCATGAACTAGTTGTAGAGTCCTGGCCAAGTTTTCATTCAGTTTTGGAAGAATAGGAGAAGAAAAGGTAATTTAAGCCCAAGAATTTTGTTTCCTCAGGCTCAGGTCAAACACCACACTTCTCATGAGCCAAACCATAGTTAATCTATTAAGTATGGCCAAACCTAATTGAAACAATGGATAACAAGGCGGTCTTCTTTGATGTCATTAGTTTGAACTCATGTGAAGTCCGATGTTTGACATAAGCCTTACCAAAGCATTCTCTGATCTTGAAAATAATATGATGCAACTGAGTCTTAAAAGATGTAATGAAAAGAAAAGAAGTGGGCTATTGAACATTACTTGTGGTGATCTTGACTCATGATGTCACTTTAGAAGCATCTTTCTTCTTCAATGCAAAACCTACTGAGTATTTTTCAATGTCCTCTTCTGCTGGTTTTACGTTTTACCAGACAAAGCATTTTTTGTTTCAAAAATAATAAACTAGTATGTTTCAATAAACTTTCATTAAAGTGTACTTCCCTTTAGTATATCTCTATTATATGATATTTTGATTTTTTGTCTCATTGATATCTGATAGTTACGGAAGCTTTAAGGAAGTATATTATACAATGTACTTAGTATTAATTCGAATATAGTTAAAAACAAAATCTTTGTTTACTTGACTAAACTATACCTCTGGCAATAAACTAAAGCGTCAATCAAGTTCTTATATTCGGTAATGCATCGTTACTGATTATCTACAGCTTGAAATGATCGTTCGCGATTTTCCAAAAGTGCGCAAAACTGTGCGAGCATTTTCTCAAAATACGAAAGAAAGAAGTCAAAAAAGCCTATTTAACGGGCGCCATTTTCTATCACGTATTCAACTAATTGAATAAGTTGTTTGAGAATTACGTTACTACCTTTTTGGAACAACACATAGGGTCTTAGGAGAGCCCGGTCCTGAAGCGTTGGTAGAGTGGGAGCTAGTATTCACAGTGGGATTGACAAACGAAAAAAAAAAAAAAATCAAAAATGGGATTGAAATTTGAGCAAAATAGAGGCTGGGACTATTAGATTTGATCACTATAGGCGCTGGAAAATGGGATTAGGAATCCCCACCCCCACCCATCCTTTAGGACCCTTTTAAAATGACTGAGGAGAATGTCCTGTCTCTGTGGTGACTAAATACTCTTTGGACCTTCACTTGCATTGGCTGAGACTATACGTAATGACTGCTACGTCACCATTACTTTCCGTAAAGCGGAATCAAGACGTCAGACCCACATTTCAGCTTCTATTAATATCAATGACATTAACAGTTGTTGTTGACGCAAGTTTTGGTTTTTGCTCAACTAAACGCTCGAGCATGCGCAGTAGGATTTCGATATCCCCCGTACGGATTAACACCAATGGAATCTTATCTAAGCGCGATAAAATGTAAAATACTGAAGATAATTAAAAAGGTCCAAAATACAACAAGAAATATTTAAAAAAAGGCCCACTTTACTTTGGAAGTAGAAGAGGAGTCCAATTCAAACAAATTAAAGGTTTTTGAAACATAATCGGAAAAAAGCTGTTCATGTGTCAGCCATAAAAACTCAATATTGCTTGACGTATTTCACCCCGCTGGGCTATAGAAATTATTATTTGCAGTTGGTGAAAAAGTGATTGACTTATTGCAACAGCCTTAGTTCATTTAATGCTTCTTGCTAATTTTAACAGCAACTTTTTAATTACGGTGGATGGATTTTTTTGGGGGTAATTTTTTTTGACCCATTCGACTGGAACAAAACAATGACTTTTCATTAATTGGAGTGTAGGTGTAAGCTCCAACGACTAATGAAAGTAAAGAAAGACCTCTTTTAAAGATGTTTTTTTTGATAATCATAGCTTGTCATGGAAAGATTACCTTTGTGAATATTTATGAATGCTCAAAGTGTAGCCTTGGTAATCAAATAGAACGTGAAAGTCTCACATTTATGTTGACACAAAGTAGGAAGCACGGAAATCATTCAGTCTAACATATAGCTCTATAGTTTGTCTTCCACATTAGAAAAAAAGCTAACTCGTTATACAAATGAGTCAGTCTAGTCTAACTCACCTTATCGGTGAAGCTGGAAAATCTTGCCAAATGCAAGGACTACCAAGTTCAGTTTCTCCATCTAATGTTAGCTTTTCTCCACAGAAGGCGCATAAACAGAAATTCTCGGTTGGACCCGAACCAACATCTTTACAGCTCAAAAAAAGAATATGCAGGAGTGTGGAACGAAATGTTATCGAGGAAATTAATCTCCATCAGGTACTACTAATATTCTTAATTAATACGTTAATAACTTAAATATGTTCGCGATTTGTTGCTCTTCGACATTATAATTTTACAGAAACCTTTTTTATCTGAGGTTTCTATTCATGCGCGTGTCATTCGTTCCCTAGAATCCATAGAAGATTCTCTTGTATTTGGAATAATTATTGATGTGATTAATTCATACTTATATATTTGCAATTGAAAATCCTGAGTTCGACTTTTTTTGCGAAATTAATTTAACCCAAAAAATAAATGTATGTCCCAGACGTTCAAAAACAAGGCTAGAAAAGCTAGTGCAACAGTTGAATGATTTTGAAAGCTACCAGAAATCTTCGGTGAATTCAAAATGGACATGTTTCGTATTTATTTAATAAAATCTCAAACCTTGAAATACGTTAATTTTATATTTAGCTTCCATATTTAACATAAATCTTCAAAACATTCTATATATAGCTTTCAGCTCAGTCAAAAAACACTAACAAAAGTCAAAGGGTAAGGCTTGTTCTTTATACACAGGTGAAAAAGGACTTAGAATAAATTAATTACAGTGAACATGTGAAAGCAACGCCTTCATGGAAAAAAGTACCGATGTTCGAAACTTGTATCTACGAATTTTCCAAGTTTTCAGATCAAAATACTTAATTGTGGTCAAAAAGCTTTACTTTATTCAAATTTTCGATAGGTTTTCTTTACTATTATGTAATATTTACGTGACGTCTTTTCGACCTATTGAATAATGAGGTAGCAGTTTGCAGTATAAAATGAAGGATTTCTAAGGAATTTACTTTTTTTATCTCTCGCTTACCATTAAAATAAAAGTGCTTTTAAATGTGCTTTACTATCAATTACCGCCTTACGAATGGCAGAAATTATCTTTCCGATAATTCCTTAACTTATCATTGTCGTAAAAAGGGTCTTATTAAGGATCTCATTAAGCGTTAGTAAATGTAATCGCGAGAGGAAACGAACTCGTAAACCACAAGGTGATAAAAAGAATTTCTTCTAATGACTCACATATCTCCTAGAAATAGGATGTGAGATTTATTACTGATGGTAAACAAATAAAAGTTGAAATGGGTGTTTGGATTAATTAATGGTCTTCAATCTTGAACTCAAAAATTAACATTAGCAAAAGAAGCATGTCAAGTGCAATAAAAATTCATTTTTAAGCGAAAGCTGACATTGACACAAACTTGTCAAAAAATGTCGGAAAACTCAGATTCAAGAGCTTGTAGTATTTTCAAGGGTTTAGTGAGAACTTTTGCAGCTTCTTCTTGTCTCATCATTACGGGGCCGTAGCCACAAATTTCTGATTGGTCCGGTTTTCGAGGGTTTTCAGTTTTTGTTATATTTTGTTATTATTTTTTAAATATTTTTTTCCCGAAAGTTGGTTCGGTTGAAACCGGACCAACCGTACCGGTGGCTACGGCCCTGAATTAAAAACAGATTTAATAGAGGGGAACTCTATTTCAAATCTGTTAAAAAGAAAGATTTCTTTGTTCGGTTTGAAGTGGGAAAAATCTAACGCATATCGTAGGAAAGACTCAGCTTGACCAAAGCGTCAACAATGCTATTTCTATGAGCTCACACTAAGGCGATAGTGAGGTCAAGGTGAGATGAAAATTAATATTTAATTAATTTAAGTTCAATACTTGGTTGGAATAAACATGAATTTGGACGTTACGTGATCTTTTGTGAACAAATCTCATCATTCTTCCGCCTCTTCAATACATTTTCAATACAATAAAAGCACTAAAAAAGTGACCGTTGAGCGTACATAGTTTTTCTGTGATTCATATATGACTTTCGCACGAGAGAATACTTCATATTCACTTACATTCGCAATATCTACCCCTTTCCGTTACGCGGTAGTCATGACAACTGGAACAATAGATTTTTTGGTCCTGCGTAGCTTGATTTAAAAAAGTTTTTTTTTATTCCCATGGGATACGAATGGCGCCGTAAGATCAATAGATGTTCTGTGATCCCGAAGAAAATCAAAAAGTAAGCCACGCCATGTTGGCTGATATAAATAACGACAGATACTAGAAAATTTCCGTTGTTGAATTCAGATAATATGGCGGCTACTGGAACAAGGAATCAGTGATTCCAATAAATAGTTTTCATTTAAAAATATAATTAAATATAATAGATCTCTTGTTTGGAAGGGGTAACTACATCTGGCCTTGCTTAACTGAACTGGCTTACCGATTTATTTTGCGATAAAAAAGACATTTTAAGCATCTGACATAACGTTTTTTTCCAGTTCACTTTGGCCTCTGCCTGCTAAGAAAATGAATGCCACTCTTTGAAAATGCAATTTGGCCAATCTTTCCACCGCCATTGCCGAGTTTTCATATCGTGGATAGTGGACTGGGTCGAAACCGGACAACTGTGAAAACGATGCCACAAATGTCTCCATTTCCCAGTGATTTATTCATTCGGTCACAATTGGGCTGCATTCGTCAAACTCTGAGTGGCATTGCATAACTATACATATTTAAAATGTTCATTTCAGTATCCCTAAGCCTTGTCAGTATTTGTCGGGTCTCCCCATTCCTATACTTCTAGATATGAAACTCGGTAATGCAACAGATGACTTTCCCACAGGAAGCCGAGTTAATATTATTATTGTATTTATTACTTTAGACATGTAGAGATGGTATGTATGACGCCGTGCAGGTTCTCCTTTCCGATGGATCACGTGACGTCAATAAAATAGACTCTTGTGGCTTCAGTCCTCTTCACTACGCGGCCAAGTATAATCACGCTGACATCGCATCGCTCCTGTTGGACCATGGTGCAGGTATTTGTGACTTCTGTGACGTCACATAGCCGCCATGTTGGTCGAATTTAGTATAAGGATTTTCTGTTGGTTTTCCTGTGACATGCATTATCCAACATGGCGACTGCTTTTTGTTATTTTTCGTTTAGACTTTAATATCCCTACTTAAGAATAGAGGTTGGTCACTTAATAGAGGTATAAAGTACGAGGGAGAAACTTCTTCGGGACTTCCTCGGGCAATTTGGCCGCCTAAATAGGTTATTAGTGCTGTATTGCCTATTTATTTTTGTTTTGTTTTATCTCACAGATCCAAGCCAGTTTAACCTGTATGATACGAGAAAACTCACACCACTTCAGATAGCGTGTTGGTTCAATTCTCTAGAAGTTGTACGCGTACTCCTTACCAGTGGTCCCAAAGGCCCCGAAGAGGAGGGGTTTGAACAGCGGGCTATTCACTGCGCAGCCGCAAGAGGAAGCCTCAAGATTGTTGAGGTAATTGTTTTTGATATTGACTCTGATTGGCTCACCAAATATGGATGACCAAAAATAAAAAAAGAAGTTATAGACGTTTAAATTTTATCGATACCCTGTAACAAACTCTGAGCTAATCAAAGTCAGGGCGTGGCTAATAATTCACARATCGAAGTTTGATTCAGTGCGGAATTTATTTTGATTGTTAGGTTATGAGGAGTGAGGAAAACTGAAGAAAAACCCTCGACTGAAGGGAGAGAGCTAACAAAAGTTACTCACATTTGATGTCGAGTCCTAGAATCAAACCAGAGACCCTAGTGTATACTATACCCCTACACTGACCAGCCTTGATTGACAACGTCAGTCTTACCCTGATCATTATCTATAAAACTACAGGAATTATTACTTGTTGGGAAGGTCGACCCAAATGCCATCGACAAAATCGGGTTCACGCCTCTGCACATCGCAGCATCTAGAGGACGAGAAAAAATTGTCAAAGTATTGGTAAGTACATCTGGATTGGGTTATATGTACCCATGGTTAATTGCAATACATATTAAAATACCCAAGGTTGAAGTAATAATAGGCCCTTTGCAGTTAACGGTCACGTGTCTGTACTGGAGGGCAAAATTTATGTTTTTATTTTAAATTGATGATTCTTTCTAGCTATTTGTAAAGAACCTAATGAAAAGATGTATAACCAGTGTGTATACAAATGCAGTTTTATTACAATCTCTCAAAACAGGTTGTAGAAAAGTTGTTTGCTCTCCAGTAAATTTCACCCATGGAAATCAAAATGTTCTTTCTTTTGCTCTCGGTGAATTAATCAGCACGTGGTTGCTTAGCTGCAAAGGGACTATTGTAATTACTGATCTTGCAACATGGCTGCCATAAATATCAAAATATTTTGAAGGAACAATTTTTTCTCTTGGTTGTCTTTTACAGGTGGATCATGGAGCAGACGTTACCATCCAAGACCATGACGGTAACATGCCCACACACATAGCAGCTCGTGAAGGCCACGCAGCCACCCTCAAGGCTTTGCTTCAATCAGGTTTGAGCAGGTTTTAATCAAGTAGAGCAGGTTTCGATCAGGTCTGAACAGGTTTCGATCAGTAATTGCTAATAAAAACCATCGAATTACAGGAGAGAACCAACAAAAATTAATTGTACTTACATACGACGCGATTCCAAGTCCGGGAATCCAACCTGGGTAGAAAAACCCCATTCATTTTCCGTCAATACAATGCCTTATCACATGACTACAAAACATTCTAAACAATTTTATCGCTAAAATAAAATTAAATCTTCTCTAAGCATAAAGGCGGTCTTTGTCATTTCACCGACCTGAAATCTTCACTCAATCACCGCCACGCAGGGAGTGAGTGATATTTTTGGTTTAGAGCAAGAGACCATAAAGTACACCTCTCATTTTCATTGTTTAAAGTGAAAACTTTTTGAATGAAAGTTTTTATTACAGTCAGTGGGAAAGCCATATCGATGGAGCATGTTCTCCGGAGCAATGGCACAGGCTCGTGTCTGCAGTTAGCCACAAGAAGATCAAACGTAGAGGTAAAACCACAGTTGCATTTCCTTCCAATTCCTTGCAATGCGACCCTTCATTTTCCAAACTTCATGATCATTTAGATATACACCGAACCAAAATATGGTGACCATTTGAATAACTATTGTTCTACACCGACTAGCGACTGACTAGCCTCTCATACATGTGAAAACGCTTTTATGTTTCCAGGTGAACACGAGGGTTCTCAGTTAATAGTCAGTGCAGGACAATAGCCATTCAAATTAGTCTCCTTATTTCGATTCGTAGTGCCTTGGCTTGTTGGATGTACGCAGTTACGCCACGCATTATTGTATGTAATTCCGGAAGAAGGCTCCCTCCCTCCTTCGCATAACAAAATAATTATCAAAATACGAATAAAGCTCGAAAAACCAAGTATAGCGAGTTATAACTGCTAATTATGAAAACAGAAGTCCAGATGCAAAAAAGTAAAATATCTGACACCTTTTCTTATTCTCCAGGCAGCAAAGGTTTGTATCGAGTTTAAAGCAAGTACATCGGCTAACTTGGTAAGCAGAAGATGACTCTTTCTATTCCAGTAGATTGTCCCAAGTAATGATTACAAATTACACAAGCTTACGTAGCTCTTGTGTACGTGTCACGCAAATAGACCTTTTTTTGAATTCGTGAAAACCTTGCCGCTGTTGTTCTTGACTACAGATCATTTGGTTAGCCTCTATTTTGTGCAAAATATTCATGTGTTGCAGTGAAGGTCCGTGGAATTTCAAAGTGTTTATGCTTCGATTAAATATATAGAAACTGATTCTAAGCTAACCCTGAGTAAATAAATCTGTAGTCAAGGAACACAACAGTATTTTATGAAAATTCGAAAAAGCTCTATCGAGGGCGCCGTGTCTCAGCCAGCTAGCTAGTGTTACCGTTCGCGCGCATGCGTGCATAAATAAAAGATGATTATCAAGAGTTTCACGTTGTCATTTTTACAGGACGATACAACTCCTCCCCTCCACACAGCCTGTATCCTTGGAAACATGGAGCTCTTGAAAAGCATAGTATCCAGTGGCGCTTCGCTGGAGGCCGAGGACATCGAAGGGATGACTCCGATTCTCAGGTAATGTAATTTGTTCTCAAAATCCAACACGTCCAACTCGAATTCAACGCTCCAGGTCAATGAAAATGCTCAACAAACTTCATCTTCGTGAAAATATAATCACGGCTTAAATCAAATTGCATAAAGCCTCGATATCAATGATAATGAAATATCACAAAGGAACTTATTTTTTAATCTATTATTCAGAGCATGTCTGAACGGCAACGTGGAAATTATCGAATACTTGATCAATGAGGTAAGATAAATCGAGAATACTTAAAACTTCTGTCACAGTACAGAATCAGTCAGTTCATAAGACATCGGCACGACATCTATTAAACCATTCCGAATACACATTGCAACTTTTGGTTTGCGCGTTCACGAAACCTCGATGAATGAATTGCAAAAGCAAACAAAACGTTTTGACGGATGTCAATTAAATGCGTTTGCCTTGAATGTACTTGCCTTGCAATTCTCTTTCCATCTAATTCAGTAGTCTCCGTATCTTTACCATCTAGGGTGCCAGTCTGGAGGCAGAAGTGGACGCACCCTCCCCTCTCATGTGTGCCGTCAAGAGGGGGCATTCCGACGCCATCCGCTTACTTCTTAGGAGAGGCTCATCGGTGTTTGTTCGGGACTTACATCAAAGAACATGTCTACATGTGGCAGTTTGGAGTGACAATGAAGGAACACTGGATATATTGTTGGAAGTGAGTAGAAAGATGGTTTACATCATATTTCAATAAAGAAGGCAGTTTTTCTCACTTTATTGAGCCAAGTCAGAAAGACTTTCTATATCTTGTGGTCTCCCACAAGGCTCAGGGCTTGGGCCCATATCATTTTTTCTAAATTCCTTAGCATTCCTAACAAGCGGATTAACCATTTCAATGATTGATTAAAGAGGCATTTGATTGAACCTCTCGATTCACAACCTTCCTAAAAGACAAAATCAGGATTAAATTTTCGCTCCTCTTTGTAATGACTGAAACGGCCACAGCAGAAAAATAGGCTGCTTAGATGTAGTTACCGTATCATCTTCTTCGTTTATTTTTTTCTTACAGGATTGTCTCGCTCTTATCAACAGTCGTGATAAGGAGTGTAACACGCCCCTTCACTATGCCGCTCTCAATGGCAACCTTAAGGTATGAATACACAGGCAATTTATGGTTGACTTAGACAATAGCGAACCAATACTGCTGAAGCAGTTTTCCCAGTAGAATTGAAATCTTGTCCCACAAACAACTACACAAGGATTACAACGCAATTTTCTTTTATTTTCAAAGAACAGTAAACCATTGAAACAATTTATCATCAATTTTCCGCGATCAGATTTTTGAATTCTGAAATATTCTAGATGACTTGTTGAGCTTGTGGGACATAGAAACGGTAACTAAGGGGAATCGGAACCATGAATTCTTGGAGTGCAACCACATGATTCAAAATAGTATCGTCGCAAACAAACACGGCGCCAATAAGTTGAAAAAAATTTTTTTTTCAAAACAAGATGATTCTCAAGTTATTGGACTCGGGAGCTGATAACAATCTTGGCGATGACGAAGACAAGCTGCCCATACACCTCGCAGCGGAGTAAGTACCAGGCCCCACTCATCTTCTTGTTACTGGGTCCATTTTAAAAGACTCTTATTTGAGAAATAGTTTGTTTGTTCAAAACAAGTTAAGCAGTGGGCTAACGGAAAATTATTCCCGTGAAAGCACTGTCACCTTAACTTTGGAAGGATTAGGAAGTACCTTAATTTCAAGTGGCTAACAATATCAGCCAATCAAAGGCACGAATAAAACTAACTATCCAATCACAGTGTTGGAATATAAGACATTGGAGTAACTTTTCCTGTCAGTAAATACTTTTTACTTTTGTTAGGGTTGGTGACCTGGAATGTTTCAAAGCTTTATTTGACATCAACCCGGAGTCTATCCACGCTACAGATTACAGGCTCCGTACACCTCTATACTATGCTGCGCTGGAAAACCACACTGAGGTAGTTAGCTTCTTGATTGAAAACGGTGCCCACGTTAACATAAGGTAAGGTATACGTCATTTGGTATCAATCAGCTGATTAAAAGCCATGAATCTCATTAGTAACCTTTTGTGAAGGATAAACACTGCCCGTCATGTCCTACCAACCAGAGGGTATTAGTAACCTTTTGTGAAGGATAAACACTGCCCGTCATGTCCTACCAACCAGAGAGTATTAGTAACCTTCCGTAAAGGACAAACACTGCCCGTCATGTCCTACCAACCAGAGAGTATTAGTAACCTTCCGTAAAGGACAAACACTGCCCGTCATGTCCTACCAACCAGAGGGTATTAGTAATCTTTTGTGAAGGATAAACACTGCCCGTCATGTCCTACCAACCAGAAGGTATTAGTAACCTTCTGTGAAGGACAAACACTGCCCGTCATGTCCTACCAACCAGAGAGTATTAGTAACCTTCAGAGAAGGACAAACACTGCCCGTCATGTCCTACCAAGCAAAGGGTATTAGTAACCTTCATTGTAGGGCAAAAACAGTGCCCGTCATGTGCTACCAAGCCGAGGGTATTAGTAACCTTCATTGTAGGGCAAAAACACTGCCCGTCATGTGCTACCAAGCAGAGGATATTAGTAACCTTCATTGTAGGGCAAACACTGCCCGTCATGTGCTACCAAGCAGAGGGTATTAGTAACCTTCCGTGAAGGACAAACACTGCCCGTCATGTGCTACCAAGCAGAGGGTATTAGTAACCTTCATTGTAGGGCAAAAACACTACCCGTCATGTGCTATCAAGCAGATGGTATTAGTAACCTTCCGTGAAGGACAAACACTGCCCGTCATGTGCTACCAACCAGAGAGTATTCTGTTGCCTGGCATCAACTAACTGGATGAACTCATAATCAACCATGGTACAAATTCAATCAGAAATGACGTCTACTGATAGCCGCCTATTGGTGGTTGGGTATTACATATTAGGAAAACATTAATAACTATAGTATTGTTCTACATACGAATATTTCATTTGGCTTTATTATGTTTTACTTACAGGGATGATGATCGTCTTAGCCCACTGTTAGCTGTTTGTCGAGAAAGTTCTGTAGACATTGTTGAACTTCTACTAAATCATGGAGCCAATCTTGAATCGCTCAGTAAGAATCGGGTGAGCATCGGTCTCTTAATTGTCCTTCTCTTCCTTAATGATTCTTTATCTTGAAGTCTTGTTCCAGGGCATTAATAGGGAATAGAGGTTACCCATCCCATAATACTGCTTGGGCTTCCTGCGGCTAGATGGCAGAACAATAAAATCCATCTGCTCTTGGGAATTGAATCTTTTCTTATGTAAAACGACTGTATTGTTCCTGCCATCTAACATGTCTGCCGCCACGTGGTGGTGCAAACCTCTATTCAGCATGACCGGAGCACAAAACCTGACGAAAGAGCTCTGAAGACCAAGGCAAACAAGCCTAATATTATAGACCTATTTACCTTTGGCTTAATGTTTTAGACCACGTGTCATTCCCTACAGTATCATTTCTTTGTTTAACGGTTGTGGATGACAAGACACATGAATATAGACACAACTCAAACAAATAATTATATTCTCAAGAGAATGACACGTGATCTATTGTGCTACGGACACCCATTATTCAGCTTTTCAACAGGTCTCTAAGGGGGAGGGGTATAAAGAACGTTGCCCACCAACCTAAATCAATAATGTCACTTTTGTCAATAGTATTTGACATTTATCTTATAATTTCTTTACGCGTGTAGGCGACGGCGCTGCTTGTTGCTTCATTCTACGGCAACTCACATGTTGTAAGGACACTTTTGAACAGAGGTGCAAAAATTGAAGTCGACGAATCGCCATTTGGTAAAGGCTGCCTTGAAGCCGCGATGCGTGGTGGCCAGAAAGATACGTGCATGGAGATAATAAAACATAAAAGGTATGCCACAATGAAATCGAAGCTAGTATTAATGTTTAATGGTAAATGGGTCACTTTCGCATGTATGTCTCATTTATTGGTTGCTATCAATAGACGTCACTTCCGGTAATAGCTCTTTTTTTGATGGCTTGTAGAATCTTGGAGGTTGTTTCGATCTCTTGTTTTCTGGTTTGATGTCGACGAAATAATCAAATACAATAGTTTGAGGATTTATTTTGATATGTTTTGACTTAGCATCCGCTAGTTGCCCCTCAGTCAACCGCTTGTTTGCCTCCCAGTCAATTCCAAAAAGTCACGTGATTGATAGTAAGCAACTGCTTATTTGACTTTACAAAATAGAGTAACACCTTAAATAAAAGTCGTTAATCAATCACAACACTGTTAGACTGGCTCAAAGTCTCGATAGCTTTTTTTTTCGTTGGCAAATCGGATTCGAATCGTGCACTTTTTGTTACGAGAGCTTTCCGAGGGAAATGGCGCGAAGGAAAGCTATATCGTAACCGGAAGTGCAAAACAACATGCGATACTTGGAAAAAGTTTACGATGCTCCCTACCAGCATCGGAGATATCAACAATAACGCATCTCCCGCTATGCGATTCCCAAGCCCCTCTACAAATCACTCACTCTTTTATATCCAAATGATGAATGCTCCTAATTATCCTTCAAGATGGCGAGATGCGCTAAAGGTCAAAGATCATGAGGGATTCACGTGCATGAAGGGGCTGATAGAAAAGTACCCGGATGTAGCCAAGGTCGTACTGGATAAGTGTGTAGTGTCTTCCAATTATCCTCCTACAGACGAAAAACACTCGGTAAGAAAAAATATGTGCAGCAAGAAATCTATAATGCAGAAAGCTTAGGCTGCGTTCATAATGTATTGCAGGGGGGGGG